TGGCTGTGCAAACCCCTGTGTGCGGAGCAGGTGGGGTCCGAAGAGGAATGAGTGAAAAACCAGGTGGGAAAGCCCAGGGCATCCCCAGTGCCCCCCAAGGAAGGTGTCCGGGACCAAGGCCACCTTCCCTGCTCTCTGGATTTTTACTTTTTCCTTAACGTGAACATTTCTGTGCCATTTTGCTGCCCAGAGGGATCAACTGTCATTCCCTCAACTGTAGTCAGACCAAGGAGACTCCAAGCAGGGAAGGCACATGGGGGTTGGCGTTGACCTTGGGAGCAGACACAGCTCCGGCCTTAGAAGAAAACATCAGTGAGGGAAAATGGATTCAGAGGCACAAGTTTCTGGCACGTGACTGCCTGGTCCCAGGTCGGCAGTGGTGTTTCGTGGCTTTGAGTGCGTCAGCGCCATCTGCATTGAGCTCAGACGTCAGCGAAGTCAACGTGGAACTGTCTGATGTTACTGGGACAGAGTGGGGCCCTCGGCTGCTGCCCCCGACCCGTCTCCACCAAGACTCAAGATTTCACAACTCCCTCTCGGGAAGAACGCCCGCGGTTCTCTCATCCCTGCCCCAGGACAGCAGTCAAAAGTCTGAATTCTCAGTAACGAACACTCAGAAGTGCTGCCGCTATCAAAGATAGAATTTCGCCTTTCAGAGGGGATTCTGGCATCCCACTGTATTTCACAATTATAGGAAGTGACGGAGTTTAACCGCCAGCTTTATCTTCAGATGGTATAACTGACTGTTGTGCTCATAGTGTGGAAGTCCCCAGTGTCATTATGTCTTCTGAAAGAGACGTGATGGCATCTCCAATGAAGCCCACAATTTACTCAATCTAATCTTTTACTTAAAATGACTGCATTATGCAAATGCACTTCTCCAGTTCAGTCAAATCAGCCCCGCCTCCCTTCTGTCACCGACTTCTCAGCCCCTGTCCCTGAGACCGGCAGACAAAGGCACTGTGGCGAGCAGCCCGGGCTTGTCCGGGTCTCCCATCTCTTTCCTCCAAGTCAGCGTCTGCCTCCATCAGAAACTGAAACCCGAATGCGCACACCTGAAGGGACATTTTCCTGTCTCAAACAACAGGCCTCTCCTTTCCACCTGCACCCACGGGAGTTGTAGGGGTTTCGCGAATGCACTGCCCCAGGTGGATCCCAACGAGCCAAGCTCACAGGAACCAGCCTTGCAGAGAAACACCGAATACCTACCAACCTAGAACATGTGGCTGGCTCACACTGCATAAGTCCGAGGACCCTGGAGTCTGGTGAGTGACACACGACAGAAAACTAACATGCGTCAGGGCTTCCCCAACGCAACTGTTTATGGCCTTAGACACGTGGTTATCTCCAAGTAATGGTTTCAGTAACCACGCGAGTGATTCTGACAAAGCACCCTGGTGAAGCCGACGTGCTGCCTAGGGAGACAGATGCAGCTGGCACTGCACAAGCAAGAAAGGTCACATCACACGGGCAGACAATCTCTGTGGCTATGAAGACCGACCGGGACAAAGAACGCTACACTCAAGCTGTCCAGTCTGAGCTGCAGATAACAGGTATGGGTTTGACAGCAGCACACGAGGTCTTGAGATACAAGATTTGAGGCAGAAAGATCCGTTGAAAGAAACTGAACTGCCAGCCAGCAAGAGCACTGCCCACAACAAGAACAACTAGAAAAACAAACGCACCCAAAACTCCAAAGGTATTCTCCAAGTGTCCTTGCCAGCGGGGCGTCGCAGGCATATGTTTTGAATTTTCTATCCTTTTCTTTGTAGGCAGATTTGGAAGTAGGATTATTTTATTGAAATACAATGCTGGGTCGAGAAAAGCCCATTGCTAAAAGGGATCGTTAGTCGGAAGGAAGGGCTCCATCCGGTCAGGACGGGCAGCCAGATCTGCAGATGGAGTAACGGACATCCTGCGTGTCACTGGAGGATTCCAGATGGCTCAACGGCTCGGCCAGGTCCCCGGGCCAGCAGAGCGGGAACTGGATGACTCCTGGGCTCTGAGTAACCATACTTCCCTGGAGGCAAACGTGGCCACAGCCCAGAGCACTCCCTGAGGGGCGGGGAGAAGAAATACTGCACACGCATGCTGACAACAAGTTTTCCTTCCCTGAATCATGAAACGCTAATTCAAACCAACCACTGTCACAAAGCATTAGAAGGCATTCTCGCCCCAGTGCGTCTGGCTGGCCGGGGAGCCTGGCGGAAGCAGCCGCCCCTGCCCCCAGACCGCGCCTGTCTCGGGAGGCTGCAAGGATGGAGGCAGATCCCGACTGTGTGCCAGGTCTGGGTGAGAGCACATGGGGGCTGTGGGAAGTGTCACTCCAGCAGGACCGGGGCCCGTGAGCCAGCCTCTTACACAGAGCAGGCCTGCAGGGAGTTGTGGGGGTCCGGGGACACGGACAAAGGTTCTCGTCTCCAAGTCCTAGACCAGTGCTACACACACAGAACCACCTGCAGTCTGTGTGTTGCTCCCACTTCCCTACCTCCACCTGCTTCCTCTCTCACCCCAGCAAGAGGGGCAGATCCGCCCTCATCTACAAAGCCTGGTGTCTGCCCACCATATGGTGCCTGGGGTCCTGTCACAGCCCCTTTCACAAGGCCCAGGATTTGGGCATCTTGGTCCCTGGTTTGTGAGCACCTGTGGTCACAGAGTTTGGGTGCACAGAGTTTGCAGGGCCCTACACACGGAACATCCTGCAGACTATAGACTGTAGGATTGGCCAGAGGACGGCAGTAGCCCCACGGGGTAGGTAGACCGCTGTGCCCATTTGACAGATGAGGCCTAACGTGGCGAGCAGTTTGCTGATGTCACCCTGCTAGTAAGCTTCAGCCCCAGCCCAGAGGGTCCACACCCTCGCCTGGAACCTGGAACCATGCACCTTACATGACGACGGGATTACGTGAGAGACAGAATGGGGACATGGGCCTGGGTGATCCGGCAGGCCCTGTGACATCACGAGGTCTACGGAAGAGGCAGGCCAGAGGGTCAGAGGGAGACGGGGGGTGGAAAATGCTGGACGAAGGGGCCAAGGAACACAGTGGCTGCTGGAAGCTGGAAAGGCACGATCCTGGCTGCTTGGGGAGGACCAGCCGATGAGATCATAACCACCAGCCCTGGTCACGGTGCGCTGAGGGCCTGCAGCCAGGGGAGTCCCGTGGGGGCAGAGAGAACCGTGCATTTCCAGCTGAGCTCACTTGGACACGGGGCCAGGTGTCACCACGCAGCAGGGCGCTGAAGAACACGGTCGCTCCCCAAAGCTCCTGGTGCCGCGAGTGCTCTGGCCCAGAGTGCTCCTTGGAAAGAAGCCATCATGGCGCTTGTAACTCAAGAAGGGACCATTATTGCCTCCGAGAAGGGCTGGGCAGGGGACCGCCACTGGGGATGCTTCCAGCTGTACGGATCTGGCCAGCGGCTGCAGCCGTCCCAAAGTGACCTCCGTCACTAAGCCCCGTCAAGCCCACCTGGCCGTCTGCCTGCCCAGTGCTCGTCATGGCCACAACGGTGCTGCCCCCCAATCCACTGTCTAGAGCACCGCATGGCCCAGCAGGCCAGGGTCAAGGGCAAGGCAGCGCCAAAGACAAAGCGCCCAGGGCCCAGAGCTCCTCAGTACACCTGCCTGCGTGTGTGCACCTGGGGAGCATCGAGGCAGCTCCTCTGGGGTCGCTGTGACCTTGCTGCTCTTGCTCTGCTAGGGAGCTGCAAGGTCAAGGTGAAGCACTGGCTGCTGGGGAAGGGGCTCCAGGCAGGTGCCCAGCTCCGGAAACACCTGTCCTTGCGACCTGTGCTTGGTCCTTGCTTCCACGTCACAGGTAAGACCCAAGCTCCGACATCCGGTCAGCATTTCCCATCACAGCTGGCCTCCCTGCTCACTCCGGAGCCGTGTACCTCACCGCCAACAACGGACAAATGTCTGCCCCGCCCCCCCGCAGCCCCTGCCCTGGGCCCGGCTGACCACACTGGCCTCGCTGGCGCCACTGGACTCTCTGGCCAAGACTGAGGTCGGCCCTGTGGCCAGCAGGAGGGGGAGCAAGCCAAGGGGCGGGGCTACACTGCAGCAGGGGAAGTGAGAGAGCACAAGATGGGGCAGGGGCCTCCATTCGGGGAAAGGACCCCCCAGGGGCTTCACAGCCTGAATCCCGGGAGCTGGAGACAGGCAGAAAATCACAAATGGTTCCCGGGATGCCCTCCCAGGTCCTGGATTTCTGGCCCTAAAGATGGAGCCGTGGAGGAGAGACACTCAGGGGACTGGTTCTCCTCACTCTGGCCTGTGGGCATCTGGAACCTGCATTCAAGACCTGCCCCTTCAGGGTGTTGTGTGCAGTGGGAGCAGTGCGTGGGTACTGGGTCACAATGGCCTGGGTTCGAATCCCAGCCTCGTGACCTTGGGAAACGGACTTCTGGCCTCAGAGCTGGAGCCCCATGGTCATAATCCCCAGCTCAGGGGTCACTGGACGGTTACCAGAGACGAGGCATGCCAAGCACACAGCCCAGGGCCCTGCCCCAGCCCCAGAAAGCAGTGAAAAACAACAGGTGGCCTCTTGGGTGAGCCGGCCACTGCGCCCTGGCCACCTTCCCCCGGGTGCCTTTCCTGAAACGCGCACCAAATCCGTCACTGCCTTTGCATCAGACAGCGTCCAGGCTGTCGCACACCTCCCCACGTGCCCTGAGCTCCGCCACCCAGGCTCTCATCCCGCTGTCCTCCCACTCACAGAAGCCCTCCCGGTTCCTCTCTCTGCCACCCCTAGCCCTTGACGGGGCCTGGTCCGAGCTCAAAGCTGGGTCACCATGACCTGAGTGTGGTGGGACTGTCCGTCCATCTGTGTGGGCAAAAGCACATGGAGGATTCACATTGAGCTCAAGAGCCGGCTCCAGGCAGCGTCCCCCTTCTGCCACTCTGCCCAGCGTGGTCCTGGCTCCACCCCCCCAACCTGCCCAGGTGGAAACAGCACGGCCTCCCTGTTCCACCGCCCCAAGCCTGCCTGCACCCCACCTACCTGGTCCCCAGAGTGTGACGCACTGCTGTTCGTGGGTCTGGCAGATGCCGTTGTAGCAGTAGCCGTCCACGCCCTGGCACGGGTGCCCGTCGTGCAGGTACACGTTGGCCGGGCAGTGAGGACCGGTCCCCGTGCAGAACTCCGGGAGGTCGCAGGAGTTGCTGGAGCCCCTGCACGCCGTCCCCGCAGGCTTCAGCTGAAAGCAGAGGGTCGGTTATGCTCAACTCCTACGGGAGAGGCGGAGGCGGCCCCAGCGGCACCCCCAGGGCGCCACGGGAAGGGGTGGGGTCGCTTCCACAGCACAGAGAGCTCACGACTCCGTGGTCTCGCTCCGTCCCTTCATCCTGCACTGACCCAAGAGCAGCCTCTTTTTAGTCTCAGGCAGCAGCAGGGTCTCTGATGAGCGGATGAGCGGGTTGCTGGTACCTGAGCCCTCCGGGGAAGGGGAGGGAGGGACGGGGTGGCTGCTGGGCTGGGGAGTCTTAAGGGGAAGCTCTGTGGTTGCCAACACTGCCACATTCCTAAGCGGACATTCCCACCGCAGGGTTGGCATTAACAAAACTACTTCCCAGGCCACAATCAACATAGCACCGTTACTTTGTCGCCCAACCCTGGAACCTCCTTCAGCCTCCTTGGGGAGAGAAACAGCACAACAAGGGCGTGGGAGGGGGTGCTGGAGACGCCGGATCAGGGGGACTGAGGCCCAGAGAGGCTTGTCTGCAGCAGCGCAGCCAGGACCCCCACACCCTGGGAGCGGCTCCTCGCACACCACACTGATCAGGAGGCTCCTGCCCCCTTCTCGAAGGTCGAGGGGCAGAAAGGAGCTGTGTGAGTCCAAGGAGATGGCACCAGGCGTCACCGCGGACCCCCGCCCGCCTCCTCCCTTGCATCCTGCCCTGGGTCTGTCATAAGCTCAGCCTGGCTTCCTACCTGCCCCCAGCCCTGTCCCAGGCTCCTTCCACCCCACTCGGTGGGCGCAGGAACTGGCCTCACACTATTCCCCGAGCTCGCCACCGTTAGGCGGGGCTGAGGGACATCTGAAGCTGGCCGGGAGTGTTCCAGGGCACCTCTGTGTTGCCGTGCTCGGTGGGGCGCTAAAGGGAGTGTCCTATAAGCAGAACACGGGATCCATTGCTTCACTAGGAAGGAGTGCGACTGCCCTGGGAGCCTCTGTGTCAACAACGCAGGCCTCCGGCCCGCCAGATGTCAGACAATGTGACGGGGACACTCACAGCTAGCGCTAACCCTGACCTACGGCCATGCACGGGATTATCTTAGCAGCAGCCGGCAACTCAGCCCAATCTGGTCCACACAAGGCACCAGAAAGGACCACTGTTGGCTGGGCCAGGTCAACCAACCCTTCTGTTGGGAAGACCCTGAGATGGAGACGTTGACACAGGACCCCAGGCAGCTGCTGGGTCACCAGCACGGCATTCTGGGGATCAAGCCGAGAGACCGGGGATGAGCCTGCGTGACGGGGGTTGGTTCCGGTTCTGGTGAAAGGGTTCCGGTTCTGGTGAAGGGGTCCCACCAGCCTCCAATGTATCCAGGGCTGGGGAACCTTTCCTGTGCCGAGGGCCGATTAGATATTTAGAGCATCTCTCGCAGGCTGTACAAAATGACCAGCTTACAAACGAGCCTGCTGTGCCTTTACCGAACTCGAGTCCCACCCGTGCTTGCCTCGGCGGCAGGGCCCGACCAAGCGAATCTGTGGACTCCTAAGGCCCGCGGGCCCGATGCCCCCCACGCCTGGAAAAGAACGCTGGATGTTGAGCTTGAGTTTTGCAGCTCTATTCGTTTCCAGCTCATAAGCAATTTATCACAGATGATTAGCAATTAAACTGTGCATCTCACTGGAAGATGGGGAGCTAATCCAAAACGAGGGCTGGATATTGCCCTTCTGCACACAATGCAGCCACCGCCCCCACTGCTCCAGCACCATCCCGCGCCGGCCCCGCACCTGCCGGTGCCGTCAGGGTCGGGCCGCAGCCCCGGGGCGCTCACCTGGCAGTCTTCGCAGCACAGCCCGTGCGCGCACACGGCGTCTGCCTTCAGAGTGCAGGTCGTGGCGTTGCAGCAGCGGTTCGTGCATTCCTGGAAGAGGGGCGTGGGCTCTGATGGACAGGGCTGCACAGTGTGGCCAGCACGCTAAGTGCAAAGGTCACATCTTGGGCGACCGCAGAGGGGAACAGAGAACACGAGAGGCTGGCACCTGGACAGAAACCTGCCTGCCCGAGCGTTTTCATCTGCAAGAAAACAAGGCTTCCGTGCAGAGTCCATGAATGCGCCCGACACGGTCTAGGAGTCCCTGGGGAGGTCAGAAGCGTGTGAGTGCCTTTTGTGGGAGGCAAAGGGCCGGAACAGGAAGGCTGCGTGGCCGGAACAGGAAGGCTGCGTGGCCGGGACAGGAAGGCTGCGTGGCCGGGACAGGAAGGCTGCGTGGCCGGGAAGCTCTCCAGGCGCAGCACGGTGGGGGTCCGTGGGGGGGTCTCACGTGGGCCTCACTCACCAAATCAACTCGCCTTGTCTGAGCACTTGACTGCACTGCACGGCAGGTGTGAAGGAGCCCCTCCCCCAGTGCGTAGCTGTCGGGCTGGACAAGGCCCACCAAGGAGCAGGAGCGGACGTTAGAGTGCCCCAGAGGCCAGGAAGCAGGTCTAGGGGCTGTGGCTCTTTGGTTTGTGGGGAATTAATTTGTTTCATTTTATTTGAAAGGCACAGGAACAAAGGGGGAGCCAGCGATGCTCCATCTGCTGGTTCTCTCCCCACAACGGCTGCGGCTGGGCCAGGCTGAAGCCAGGAGCCCAGAACTCAACCTGGGTCTCCCACGTGGGGCCATCACCGCTGCCTCCCGGGGTGTACATGAGCAGGAAGCTGGAGTCAGAACTGGCGCAGGGACTTGAATCCCCGCCCTGCAGCAAGGGACACAGGCGTCCCGAGCAGCGTTCTAATGGCTGTGCCAAATGCCGGCCCCGGATCTGCGAGGGATGATGAGAAACCAGGGCCAGAGAGAGTGAACTTCCTTCGCAGGCCCCACTCCTCCCTCGTGAAGGAAACGAGAGGACTCCTTGCTTGGTCCTCGACTCAGGCTGTTCTCAGGTTTACCCAGGGAGTCGCAGCAATCCTCATTCCCCACAGCATTCCAGTAACTCGGGGCTGTCGTGTTTTAGAAGAAATCATCCTCACATAAGAAGGAACGTTCCCTGAGCCTGGAATACTGCTTCCTTTATCAATTTAAAAAAAATATTCAAGGGCCAGCACTGTGGCATAGCAGGTAAAGCTGCCACCTGTAGTACTGGCATCCCATATGGGTGCTGGTTTGAGTCCCGGCTGCTCCACTTCCAATCCAGCTCTCCGCTATGGCCTGCGAGAGAAGTGGAGGGTGGCCCACGTCCTTGAGCCCCTGCATGCATGAGGAAGACCCAGAGGACTCTCCTGGCTCCCAGCTCCAGATCGGCGAAGCTCTGGCCATTGCGGCTATGTGGGGAGTGAACCAGCGGATGGAAGACCTCTGTCTCCCTGTAACTCTACCTTTCAAATAAATAAATAAATCTTTAAAAAATATTCAAAAATGATGTGCCTTAAAGAAATCATATACTATTGGCAAAGGCAAAGCTGGGCATAGACTAATTGAACAGTATAATAGTTTGCTCCGAAGCCAGCTTTTTGGAGACAGATTTATATTAGTATCAGAAGTGCGATTAATAAGATTTTCTCAATAGTCCGGAAAATTTATGGTGAGAAGCCCGAACCGCATCCTGTGGAAAGCCATGAATGATGCTCTCTGGGTGTCTGCCGCTTGCTCCCATCACCCACACTTCCCAAGTTATTAAATCTGAGATTTGTCGGAGGCTTTATAAACATCCGGAATGTGTAATGTATACAGTAAGATAAAACTGCCAACCAGAAGTTGTAGCTGTAGCGTCCAGGGCAGGGAGAGCCTCTGACTCATGGACTTAGAAACTAAAAAAGCTCGGAATTTGTTCTGCTTTTTGCTCCAGGAGCCCCTGAGCTGCACTCCTGCTTGGGGCCGTGGGACGCTCCCCACAGTCCGCAAGCCTCAGCCAACAACGGCCAACCAAGCCGATTTCCTCGATGCCCCCAGTGAAACCCGCCGTCCTGTATCTGGGTCCTAAAATCCTTTCTCTTTCTCCCTCCAACTCACCAAGTAATATAAGCAGCAGCTCGAACGGAAATGCAGCCAAGTCGAATGGTTCGACTTCAAAGGGGGTTGATAATGTGAGAAAGATAACCAAGTCTAAAAGATATTTGCAAGCTACCGGCATCCTCTTGACTTTAAACAAGGAGGTAAGGCTGCTCTCCCAAGCCTGCTAGCTGGAAGAGTGAGTGAGCTGTCAGCACAGCCGTATGTTGCCATCAATCCAACGCCCTGTACGGGAAGCCTTCCGCAATCGCTTGCCTTTTAAGTAGCCCCGAATCTACGTCTCCTGCAGTACCATATTTCTCAGAAGAGACAAAGTCTTCATCTGCTGATACATCCATTATCTTAGTGCTCAGAGAAGTGCAGCAGAGCCAGTGAACACCGAGTCTCCAACAGAGAGACTAAAGAAAGCGTTAGATTCTCTGTGAAACCCTCGTTGGCATTCTCAGGCCGTAGCGGGAGACGTGGAGTCTCTCTCACAACAGGCTGGGACGAGGTGGCAAGGCATCTTCCCAAAAATGACGGAGAGGATTTCTGAGAGTGAGGGAGCAGACGCTGTTCTCAGCGCCCACTCCCCGGCTCCCTGATGCGCCCCGATGCGGTGACACAGAGTCCCTCTCTGGGCCGGCACGTGGGGACCAGTCTGATGCCTAGGCCTCAGGAACACCGCAGGGCCCGTGCACGGGTAGCAGGACGGAGAGCCCTGGCTGACGGGTCAGCCTAAAGCCTTGGCCAAGAGAGTCCGGAGCCTGGAAATGCACCGTCACCCTCCTATGACTCAGTTTGGGCTTCACCTCTTTTGCAAAGCAAAAATGAAAAATGCGCAGCCAAAGGCTCTTCTGTGAGTCTGAAAGATTTCTGGGAAGGAAGTCGTGTGGATGGAGGGAAGGAACTTACCCCGCAAAGTAAGGACCCTAGCCCTAGAAAAATGAAGTTGGGAACCGTGTGTGAGCAGAATTTGGCTCTACCCAAGGAAGGAATCGGGAACACTCAAGTTGCCCTGTGACGAGGTATGCTACTGGGGAGACGGCACACACCTGCCAAGCTGCCCGGCCGACTGTTCACAGGGCAGAGGATCTGGACAAGAAGGGCCGGCAGGTTTTAGGCTCTGAACCACTCGCTGACACAGTGGTGGTGGTGGGGACGCGGTTGGTGATGGTGGCCGAGGAGACGGCAATGGCTGTGATGATTAATGGGGGGGTGGCAGCCATGGGGGAGGGGGCTGGTAGCTATGGAGATGGTGGTCTGTGGTGTGGTGGGGGCAGAGGTGATGATGCTGGTGTGGCAGTGATGGTGGGGAGGGTGGCAGCTGTGCCGCTGCTGCTGGTGGCACAGGGAACGGTGACAGCCGACGGCATCAGTCCAAAGCCAAACACTCATGGCTCCATCAAGAGCTGCCGAATTGACTTAGACTAATAAACAATCATAAGGACTTCAAACCAATGACAAAGCATTCTAAGTCAATATGGTCTCTCCTGAGAAATATGGGTGATGTAATCTTGTTTTCTTCAAGTGGTTAACGAGGCCAGCATGGAGTTCCTTTCCCCCGGCTTCAAGTGATCCTCCACTAATCTCTTTTAAGATTTTATTCATTATGTGGGAGGCAGTTATAGAGAGAGGGAGAGACAGAAAGGTCTTCCATCCACTGGTTCACTCTCCAAATGGCCACCATGGCTGCAGCTGGGCCGATTTGAAGCCAGGAGCCAGGATGTTTCTCCGGGTCTCCTAAGCAGATGAGGGGCCCGAGCAGTTAGGCCGCCCTCCACTGCTTTCACAGGCCATAACTGGATCAGAAGAGCAGCCCATGTGAGAACCGGCGCTGATATGAGACGCCGGCACTGCAGGCGGAGGCTTAGCCTACTTTGCCACCGTGCCAGCCCCTCCTCCGCTAATCTTAAAAAGGTTTTCTGCAGCATTACAATTAAGGTTCTCTCCTACGCGGTGACTGCTCTCTGATCATTGTGATCAAAATTCAATGCACAGTAGGCAACTCCACTGATATCAGCAAGCTCCGAGCTTGGAAGAGGCACACAATGGACAGAGCCCAGCACACGCCCTCGCCCAGCCCTTGCACACCTGCAGCACTCTTCGTGGAAACCATCAGACCCTGCGCCTGCTGGCACGGAAGCCCCAGAGGCTCGGGGCTGGGGCATGACGACACCTCCGTCCCCGTGATGAACACCAGACTCAACGGGGTCCTCGGAGTCTCAGCCCATCCTCCCTCCGCCCTAGGACACCCAGTTTCAGGGCACCTTCTCAGACCTGTGCTTCCCGAGCCCTCACTAAGCACATCGGCGGAGCTGGCCAAGCCACGCTGAATGTCCTGCTCATCAGCTTACATGGACTCCAGGGTAGGGAATCCCACACGTCAGCCACCTGCCTGACAAGCACTGGCCTGGGTGTGTTCTAATCACAGCCTCCTCTGGGCTTCGAGGGGCACCTGTCTACCTGGTGCGTCTCGCTATGTCCTTTCCTTCTCAAGGTTAACAAGTAGCTTTAACAATTTTTTTTTTAAGATTTTATTTATTTGAGAGAGAGAGAGAGAGCGGGAAAGACAGTGAGAAAGGTCTTCCATCTGCTGGTTCACTCCCCAGATAGCAGCCACAGCTAGAGCTGGGCCAATCCGAAGCCAGGAGCCTCTTCTGGGTCTTCCACGTGGGTGTGGGGGCTCAAGAACATGGGCCGTCTTCTACTGCTTTCCCAGGCCATAGCAGAGAGCGGGGTTGGAAGAGGAGCAGCCGGGACATGAACTGGCGCCCCTGTGGGATGCTCGTGCCACAGTTGGAGGCTTAGCTCACTATGCCACAGCGCCAGCCCCGCTGTTGAAATTTATTCTGGAGTTGGTACTGTGGTGTAGCCAGTAAAGCTGCTGCCTGTGGTGCTGGCATCCCATATGGGTGCCAATTCCAGTCTGGGCTGTTCCACTTCCGATCCAGCTCCCTGCTAACAAGCCTGGGAAAGCAGTGGAAGATGGCTCAAGTCCTTGGGCCCCTGCACCCACGTGGGAGACCCGGAGGAAGTTCCTGGCTCCTGGCTTAGTCTGGCCCAGCCCTGGCTGTTGCAGCTACCTGGGGAGCGGATAGAAGATCTCTCTGTAATTCTGACTTTCAAAATCATACATACATGCATATATAAATCTTTGAAAAAAACCCAATTCTTAGGCTGATTACCTTTATGTTGGGCCCTAGAGAAAGGAGACAAAGGCCCGATACCGGCCACAGGACAGAGGTGCGTAAGCCCGAGCTGGCTAAAAACAGCGCCGCCTTTCGCTCGGTGCTACCGGCGCCTGTGGGCAGCAGCTGGAGCACCAGGTCCTGCATACAGAGGCGGCTGCGGCAGCAGGGACAGGATTTCAGCTGGGTTAGAAACAAATGCTGCTCATTCAAATTCCCCTCTCGCAGCAGCCTTCCAGAGAGAGAGACGGTGCTGACGAGCACCTGAAGCCCGGATGCAGAGGCTCTCTCCTCCATCAGACTCGAAGCTAAACGCTTTCTTATCGTTCTTGCCCTCGTCTTGCAGAGAACGCCGTGCCCTCCAACAACGGACTCCGCGCCAGAGCTAAGAATCCAGAAAGCCACCTCCCTGGGCGGGGGGCCTGGGTTTCACCGCCCCGCGGCACTGCTCCAGGCTCTCGCTGCTTGCCCCGGCCTGCTTACCTCCGGCTCCCCACAGTCGCACTGCTCCCCTTCCTCCACGTAGCCGTTGCCACACTTGCGGCCCCCGAAGGACTGCTTGACCTCGGGCAGGTTGAAGAGGCACATCCCCATCCCCTTCTCCAGGCTGGTCTCCAAGTCCTTCTTGCTGCAGCTGCTGAACACCATGGGGAACGGGTACCTGCGGACGGACAGCCCAGAGCGGCGGTTAGGGCACAGGTCGGCCTCTCCTGTTGCCCCTGGTCAGCCCTGGCGACGTCCGCCCAGGGGTCCGCTGTGGGTCTCAGTGCGCGATGGCATCCAGGTGCAGCCTGCATGGTGCCGCCCGCTCCTGGGCACGGCCATCACCTCTGCCGAGGACGCGCCTGACCCAACAACAACTCCAGACAGCTCTGGCGGGAATGGTGCAAGAGAAAGGGAATTCTCAGGATCTGCAACAAGAACCAAACACGCCAACAACCAAGCTTGTCAAGTCCGTGGTTCCAGGGGCCCGCGTCTCTACCCAGGTCAGACCTGGTCAGTGTGGGCATTCAGCCCACGGAGGTCAAATCCCTGCTGTCCCTCAGCACCGCTGGAAGAGAATGGAGGTGGTCAGGCGACGGAGAGCCTACTCTAGCCTCTAAATCCCAGGGCCACAGAGAGGGGGCAGAGTCGGCCCAAGTGCCCAGCAGAGTCGCACTCCCCTTCCACAGGCTCAAGGGCTGCCCAGTCCCATGCACCTGCATGGGCTGCGTGACCAGTTCTTGATGGCAGAACATGACCACGAGAGAGGCGAGTCCCCCAGCGGATGGCATTTAAAGGGTTACTCCTTACTGATGTCCTAGCTGTCCCCCTCTGTAAGCTGAGATCAGTGCATTCCACGGCTTCAGGAGTCAGAGGACACAGACCCAGCACCCTTCTGCTCACTGTAGGGAGCCCCAGAGCAGCCAGCAAGAGGGGAGCACCTGTGACCACAGAGCCACGGAGCCACGGAGCCACGGAGCCTCGAGGGTTGTTTCCTATGGCAGCTGGGCGACTCAACATACACCAGGTGCCTCCAAAGTTCACGGAAGGTTTGTTTTACAAAACACTGTGCATGGATTTCAAAAAACATGTAGCATTCAAACCTCTGAACTCCATTCTCCATGAACTTCTGGAAGCACCCTCGCATGGAGTGTCTCACTCTCGTTCCCAAACACGTTTTCCCGTGTCTGGAGGCAGCAAGCACTCTGGGGACAAGCATGACCGAAACCTGTGGGTTTTGCCACCAGTGAGGATGTGAGGCCCAGCAAACCCCACCACCCTCTCCATGGAGACGTCCACAGGATGACAACACTTGACTCCATGTCCATTGGCCAACCCAAGCCAAGCCGCTCCCCAGCGACAGGACACCAGCCCCAGGTAATGCTGCCTGTGACAGTAGTTCAAGTCCGTGCACACACGGTCACAGCCACACTGCTCCCACCACCCTCCCCCACCAAGTGCTGCGATCAACCCCAGATTACTAACTCTGGAGCATAACGCTGACCTACGGATACATTCACACCCAAGTCCCACCCCGACCAGGGCTTACTGTAAGTGCGGGAGCCAAGTCCCCTTTGAAATCTTTATACCTGTCCTAGGTAGGCAGATTGGTGAATCCTGGTAGCAAAGCGACACTGGACAGTTTCAAAATATTACAATCTGTGCTATTTTGCACTTAGGGAAGGTTTGCATTGGCGAGGCTGGCACCTCACACAGCTAATTGACACCAATTCTCTCTGCAAAGAAGTACACAACACACGTGTATCTCCAGGGTGATCAGGGACCCTAAACGCCAGGCACACTGATTTCTTGCCATGTGGACGAGTGACCATTTGCAATCAGCTCCTTCTGGAAGGGAACTGACTGCTAGAAGATGGTAAATTAGGACGGACATTAGGACGAAACCGAAGTCTCAGGAAAGGTTTATGGCAAGAGGAGCAGGAGAGAGAACCCGAAAGGGGACTGGGCGCCAGTGTCCCAAGGGAACAGAGAAAGCGCACAGCCCCCAGGGGACAGGAGTGCCGAGACCCGCCTCATCCCCCGAGATCGGAGCATCTGCCCATCTCATCCTCTCACACGGTAACAAGTGCACACATTTCGGGCCTGGGGGTGGGTGTGTTAACATGAAAGAAACATCTTCGATGAATGGGGTCTGCTGAAGTCCAGGACGTAACCAGCCGAGTGTCTCAGGGAGGACGGGACAGAACGTTGTTGACAAGACATTTCTGCGTCTGGGCTGGATGTCCCAGGCGGGAGCACTGACCTCTGTGGTCGATGTCTACTTCCCTTAGCTGCCTGTTGGAGAACAAACTCCAAATGCGCTGAAAACCCTCTGTCACTTAGATTCACGGCCTCACGGCCCCAGCCCCACAGCCCCCCGCCCCACGCCCCCCGCCCCATGGCCCCGGCCCCACCGCCCCCCGCCCCACGGCCCCAGCCCCACAGCCGGCGCCCCACAGCCCCCCGCCCCATGGCCCCAGCCCCATAGCCCCACGCCCCACGGCCCCAGCCCCACCACCCACCGCCCCACGGCCCCAGCCCTACAGCCCCCCGCCCCACGGCCCCAGCCCCACGGCCGGCGCCTGGCATTTGGTCCTGGAGGCTGCCTCCGTCTACGCCAGCTGAGCTTGTGGTGGATTCCCCGACCCTAAGCCGGTCCTTCCTCACTGGGGCTCACACCACACGGCCACCTCTGCACATGGCCCGCCTTCCGCGTCACCACCGTGATCGGCTCCGGCTGTGGGTAGCCGGGGGCGGCCCCTCTTCCCTCCAGCTGGGTCCTTTCTGACTCGCCCCGTGCTATCCCAGCGCGACCCTTCAGGAAGGCCACGGGCCTTCAGCAGACGCTCCTGCCTACTTGCTGCATTTGGTCAGTCGGCTTTCCTACCAGCTTCCCACAACACCCCAGCTGTCCGCCCAGACAGTGATGAGTCTGTGGCACACCTTGCACCTGTGGGACATCTTTGCCGATTTCCCCTTGGGGACACCAGGAGTGACAGAAGTCACTCTAGTAAGATCTCTGCAGAGCAGTCAGCTGGCGCCGCAGCTCACTAGGCTAATCCTCTGCCTTGCAGCACCAGCACACCGGGTTCTAGTCCCGGTCAGGGCGCCGGATTCTGTCCTGGTTGCCCCTCTTCCAGGCCAGCTCTCTGCTGTGGCCAGGGAGTGCAGTGGAGGATGGCCCAAGTGCTTGGGCCCTGCACCCCATGGGAGACCAAGAGAAGCACCTGGCTCCTGCCTTCGGATCAGCGTGGTGCGCCGGCCGCAGCACGCCGGCCGCGGTGGCCATTGGAGGGTGAATCAATGGCAAAGGAAGACCTTTCTCTCTGTCTCTCTCTCACTGTCCACTCTGTAAAAAAAAAAAAAAAAAAAAAGAGAGAGAGCAGTCGATCGCTCGCCACCCAGTGACCCTGCAGTTCCCCAGCACCCAAGAGGCTGGGGTACGTGGCCGGGAACAACACGCACAAAACCCTCACCACGGAGCTTGCCTTTCAGTGGGGCAAACATGACCAGGGAGTAGAGAGAGTGGGTTTTAGAAAGAGAAATGGTGGTGCGCAAGGACGTGCACTGGACTCGCGGGTGGACCTCCAAGGACGTGCAGACATTCCCCAAAGCGACACGCGTGGGCGGGCCTGACGGGACGTACCCAACAGTGAGACACGAACTCTTCCTGTGACCACCCAGGAGGGCAGCCCCTCCCCCAAGACCAGTGTGGGAACTGCTGGTATCCTGTGGGTAGGGCCAAGGCTTGTGGACAGCAAGAAGGCATCACAAAGTGTCATTACACAGGGCGCTTTCCCCTGCATGGCCCAGGCGCCGAGAACCACTGCAGGTATTCTTCCAAAGAACTCCAAACCTTTATTTCTACCCCCCACCCTTTAAATACAATTATTATCACAAGCCAAGGGTTTGCTCCTCACCTCTGTTCTGCTCTGAGACATTCACAGCTGATGGGTGCACGGGACTAAGAAAAATATGGAAAGATTAGAGCCCACCCCGTGCAACCAATAATGTAAAATTATTTCATATCTCAGCAGAGAAATTTGGTTGCATCAGATGCTGGATTCTTATTATGATGTGGTCCTCATCTCTGAATGCTTTTTATATCCTAAGTAGCCACTGGTCGCCTGGTGCACAGAGCACGGTAGGAGCCCATGCCCAACGGCTCAGGAGCTAAGGGACAGGACTTGGCTTGTGCCAAAGATGAGCCAATGGACCTCACGCACCCAGGGGTGCATCACCGTCCCCTCCAGGTTTAAGAAATCCACCTGCGGGATCGGTCAGTGAGATCACTGCTCTAACCGGTTCAGCCACACAAATCGGGAGCACAGGAGGACCTCGGCCAAGCACGACTCTGCCCTTGAACTTCCCACGGTGGCAGAAGTCATCAGATTCGGCCGGGATATCCCCCACTCCCTCGCTGACTCACTTGAAAGGAGGTTTTCAAGCTGCCTGTTGAGTTCAGAGCTCCGAGGAGGGTCCCGGGTAACTCAGACGCTCCGGACCCCGCCCACCGCTTCCTTGCTTGAGTGTCGCCGAACCCCTTCCTTACGGAGGTGCCCCCCCCCACTGCCTCTCCGTCCATTCTCCAAGGCCCACGAGTGTCCCCTCCTCCAGGACACGGGTCTGGAGTGTCAAACCCTCGCCCACACTATTATTTAATGTCACACAGAGAGGCTCCGAGGAAGACTTCAAGCCAGGGCTCCATGGTTATTGTTCCTTTTGCAAACTGTCACACTCCAGCTGCAAGGTCGTAAGTTCCCATTAGTCATGGGGTCAAAGCACACACACAGGTCGCGGCGTAGCTCCTGCACTCCTGCTTTAGGCTAGGGGGTACCGTGGCGCTCTCCTCACAGAAACATCTTTTACACTGGTTTTCTACCGACATGTAGTAATTGTATGTTCTGACAGGCTGGCGTGCAATGCTTCAGAACAAGTACACAATGTGTCCCCATCAAATCTTGGGGGGCTTTTATCTCCTGGGACTTTGTCATTCTTTGGATTAGGAGCCTTTAAACTCTTCTCCAGCATTTTTTTTTTTTAAAGTAATAATACACTGTGGCCTGTGGCTGCCTGCTATACTCCAGAACTGTAGAGCCCAGCCCCGTGAGTAACGTGCTCTGGTACCTGTGAGGCAACCTCCACCTACCCCCTTCCTCCCTCAAGACCTACAGGCTT